ATGAAACAAATAGACCGACTGAAGCAAAATAAGTCGCCGGGTCCTGATGAGCTTTTCTCGAGGGTTCTTAAGGAATGCAAAATGGAACTCTGTGAACCATTAATTAATATTTTTATTTTATCTCTTCAAACAGGTATAGTGTCTGATATGTGGAAGATGGCTAATGTAATTCCTATTTTTGAAGCAGGGAACAAGTCATTACCGTCAAATTACCGCCCAATAAGCCTGACCTCGATTGTAGGCAAATTGCTAGAGTCGATTATAGCTGAGATTATAAGAAGCTATCTCGATAAACATAGCTTGAGTAATGATACTCAGCATGGATTCACAAGAGGCCGGTCTTATCTAACTAATTTATTAACTTTCTTCAGTAAAGCTTTTGAGGCTGTTGATCACGATAAAGAATTTGATATTATTTACTTAGATTTTAGTAAGGCTTTTGATAGTGTTCCGCACCAAAGACTGTTAAAGAAAGTGGCAGCACATGGCATTCAGGGAAAGTGCTCTCATGGATCGAGTCATGGCTCACAGACAGGAAGCAGAGAGTGCCCATAAATGGGGTTAAATCCGAGTGGGGATCTGTAACAAGTGGCGTTCCACAGGGATCAGTCTTGGGCCCGTTGTTGTTTATAATGTATATCAATGACCTTGATGAGGGTATTACTAGTGATATGAGCAAATTCGCCGATGACACAAAGATAGGTAGGATAATTGATTCAAACGTAGATGTTAGGGAACTTCAAGAGGATTTAGACAATCTCTATTCTTGGTCAGAAAAGTGGCAGATGCAGTTCAATGTAGATAAATGCAAGGTTCTGAAGCTCGGGAATGTCCATAACCCTAGCACTTATAAGATAAATAATGTAGAACTTAGCCATACAGATTGCGAAAAGGACTTGGGGGTTATGGTGAGCAGCAGCCTTAAACCAAGACAGTAGTGCCTAAGCGTACGTAATAAAGCAAACAGATTGTTGGGATTTATTTCAAGAAGTGTAAGCAACAAAAGTCCAGAGGTTATACTGCAGCTTTATACATCATTAGTAAGGCCTCACCTAGATTATGCAGCTCAGTTCTGGTCTCCATATTACTGAATGGAAATAAATTCACTAGAAAACATTCAGCGTAGAATGACTAAATTAATACATAGCATTAGAAACCTTCCTTATGAAGAAAGATCGAAGACTCTTAAATTACATTCACTTGTTAGACGAAGAATGAGGGGAGACAGGATCGAAGTGTATAAGTGGAAGATGGGTATTAATAAAGGGGATATAAATAAGGTCTTGAGGATATCTCTCCAAGAGAGAACCCGCAGTAATGGATTTAAATTAGACAAGTTTAGATTTAGAAAGGACATAGGAAAGTATTGGTTTGGAAATAGGGTAGTTGATGAGTGGAACAGTCTACCCAGTTGGGTTATTGAGGCTAGGACTTTGGGTTGTTTCAAATTTAGGTTGGATAAATATATGAGTGACAGGGGTTGAATTTGAGTGGATAGAGTTATCAGAGCTTATTTCTTGGGTAGCATTGAAAATTAGGTTGGACAAATGTTTTGTTAGTGGGATGGATTGTAAAGGACTTGTCTAGTATGGGCCAACAGGCCTGCTGCAGTGACCCTCCTTTCTTATGTTCTTATGTAAATATGAATGCGAGGGTCTTGGCAAGAGGTGTGGAGTTGAAAGATATAGAATCAAACACAAAGTGTCACAGTTGCTCTTTGCTGATAACACTGTTTTTTTTTTTTTTTTTTGAGATTCTGAAGAGAAGTTGCAGAGGTTGGTCGATGAATTTGGCAGGGTATGTAAAAGAAAAAAATTAAAAGTGAATGTAGGAAAGATTAAGGTGATGAGGATAACAAAAAGATTTGGTGACGAAAGACTGAATATCAGATTGGAGGTAGAGAGTATGGAGGAGGTGAATATATTTGGATATTTAGGAGAGGGCGTGTCAGCAGATGGGTCTATGAAGGATGATGTGAATCATACAACTGATGAAGGGGAAAAGGGTGAGTGGTGCACTTAGGAGTCTATGGAGGCTAGAAACTTTGTCCGTGGAAGCAAAGAGGGGAATGTTTGAGAGTATAGTTGTACCAAGACTCTTATGTAGGTGTAATGCATGGGTGATGAATGTTGCAACGAGGAGAAGGCTGGAGGCTAATGTGTGGTATGAATATAATGCAGAGAATTCGTAGTTTGGAAATTAGGAGGACATGTGCTGAGGAGGGGTTGTTGAGGTGGTTTGGACATGTAGAGAGAGTGGAACAACACAGAATGACTTCGAGAGTGTATAAATCTGTAGTGGTAGCCAGCTTTCAGGGAGAAGGCTTACAGCTTTTCATCTCATCCCCTGCATGCTTCGGCCTTACTAGAGATTTTAACAATGCAAGGAATTCGCAAAAGCAGGCGAAATATACAGAAACACTGATCTCTGGCTGAAGGAGACTCGAACCTACGAACCTTGGAGCAAGGTACGGAGTGCTTTACCATTCTCACCACACTGGACAATACCTTGGCACCCAGCTTGTGCTAGACATTGATCAAAGACAGCCAGCTTTCAGGGAGAAGGCTTACAGCTTTTCATCTCACCCCCTGCATGCATCAGCCTTACTAGAGGTTTTAACAATGCAAGGAATTCGCAAGAGCAGGCGAAACATACACAAACCCTGATCTGTTGCTGAAGGAGACTCGAACCTACGAACCTTGGAACAAGGTACACAGTGCTTTACCATTCTCACCACACCGGACAATACCTTGGCGCCCAGCTTGCGCTAGACGTTGATCCAAGGCAGCCAGCTTTCTGGGAGAAGGCTTACAGCTTTTCATCTCATCCCCTGCATACATCAGCCTTACTAGAGATTTTAACAATGCAAGGAATTCGCAAGAGCAGGCGAAATATACACAAACACTGTGTGGTGAGAATGGTAAAGCACTGCATACCTTGTTCCAAGGCTCGTAGGTTCGAGTCTCCTTCAGCCAGAGATCAGTGTTTATATATATATATATATATATATATATATATATATATATATATAATTATATATATATATATATATATATATATATATATATATACATATACATGTACATTTTTTTAACAAGTTGGCCGTCTCCCACCAAGACAGGGTGCCCAAAAAAGAAAGAAAATCCCCAAAAAGAAAATACTTTCCTCATCATTCAACACTTTCACCTCACCCACACATAATCACTGTTTTTGCAGAGGTGCTCAGAATACATCAGTTTAGAAGCATATACATATAAAGAGACTCAACATATCCCTCCAAACTGCCAATTTCCCAAACTCCTCCTTTAAAGTGCAGGCATTGTACTTCCCATTTCCAGGACTCAAGTCCGACTATATAAAGATAACCGGTTTCCCTGAATCCCTTCACTAAATATTATACTGCTCACACTCCAACAGTTATCAGGTCCCAAATACCATTCGTCTCCATTCACTCCTGTCTAATACGCTCACTCACGCTTGCTGGATGTCCAAGCCCCTCGCCCACAAAAACCTCCTTGACCCCCTCCCTCCAACCTTTTCAAGGACGACCCCTACCCCGCCTTCCTTCCCCTACAGATTTATGCGCTCTCCATGTCATTCTACTTTGACCAATCCACCTCAAGAACCCATATATATACATATATATATATATATATATATATATTATATATATATATATATATATATATATATATATATATATATATATATATATATATATATATATATATAAACACAATGGCTGTATCCCACTTTGGTGAACGATACGAACAACACTACAAAAATGCCGATCAGTTGCAATACTTCTTTCAGATCACTATTACCTTAATTATCCTTCAGTAGCATGTAAGCGAGGGATGATATACGAGGGTAAAATCAAAATGATTAAACTTCGCACAATAATCCGAGGTCACCACCCATAAAAGCATACTGTGGAAATTTATTTGGTCCCTAAAGTTTCACAGGACAGATCCGGCATGGCCGTAATGGAACGGCTGAGCTGGGTGGCCCTTAAACTCACCCAAACAAAAAGCGTTCTCCCCAAACATAAACACATTTCTCTCCCCGGGGGGTTGCGTGGATGGTAGGCACTTATTTATTTATAGATTTACCCTTCAGGGAAGGAGTAGGTAGTTTTACTGTTAGTATATTAATATTAGGTTTACTAAGGCAACTGTAGATAATAATACTGTAGACCTAAGACTTTAACATAGGTAGTAATAGGCCGATAATGTAGGCAAACACTAGGATAAGTTAGCTAGGGAGAACTGGCAGCCCTAGTTTGAACAAAGAGATGAGGGTCTGGAAGAGAGACCAGCTCGTCCTTCTTAAGACAGACACCAATTGGACAAGACGTGCCGTGATCAGCAGACGGCGCCCCCCATGTGTCTTCACATTTGAAACCTGGGGAAATCTGGTAGAGGCACCTCGATGTACTGTAGATGACCTCCTCCGTCAGGCCCATACAGTAAGACAAGACCTCCACTTTATCTCGTAGATTTCTGGCCAGTGTCTGGGGAGAATTGTGAGTGAGTTTGATCTGTGTGTCCGGTGTGCAACAGGCAGTGCATGCCCAGTAAGTACCAGTGTCTCTTGGCAGTCTGGAAGCTAGTGTCCGTGTCTGCATAGTTATACTAGGGGATACACACCCTCTTGGATATAGGAATTTCTGAGGTGCAGGCAGGTCACTTGGAGGCGACTCACTTGGAGGCAGTCCACACAAATTTTCACACATACCACATGTGGCATCCACAGAGGCTAGAATCCCCTAACAAGACTAGGGATTTAGGATTACCATCCACTAATCCTTTCTTCTCAGAGGGAAAGCGCTGAGGCAGCATGATGTTACAAAGGCCTCCTCACACCCAGGGAGAAACCGGACACCTGGTATCCTGATATTGGTCAGGCAGTCACGAACATCACATATCTGTTTCTCCCATATTTAAAACATCTGAAATTTAAAGTAATCTAAAATTTTGCTATCAGACTATTTTATCCTAAACCTTAAATCGCATTTATTTAATGTTCATCTACCTTCTGAATTTTTTTTTCCTTCAGACGACGTCGTACAGAGTTTGCCAATCTGGTGATGACGTCTTGCCGTAAGCTGCGTGCCACCCACCGCCCCGAACCACCAGACCTCGCCCACACACTCACACACCGTCTACCCCCGCTCCTCGCCTCTAAATACGAGCGCATTCTGAAGGACCTCTTCCAGGAGTTACGACAACGAGAAGTACAGCCGGTCCTCATGAAGCCTCTAGGCACATTCGAAAG